TTTTTATACATGCTGTCCAGTAGATGGTGGTCTGATACTATGTATTCTGCATATGTGTGTGCACTCTCAGAATGATGTGGATGATAAGCAGGCAGCAGTGAAGATGAAGATGTTTGGGAAACTCACCAGAGACACCTTTGAGTGGCATCCTGATAAACTGCTGTGCAAGAGATTTAATGTCCCTGATCCTTACCCAGGGTGAGACAGCCACACACACACACACACACACACACACACACACACACACACACACACACACACACACACACACTCTTACCAGTTTAACTGAAGGAAACACTTAAAATTTATTTGCCTTAATAATGCCAAATCGCACGTTTTATTCCCTTGTTGTGATGTCGGCACTTACAGCACTCACACCTTTCTACTGTTTAAACTGTTTTTGGGCTGAAAATTTGCTAGTGCTTTTAGAAATACTTTGGCAAAGAAAAACATTATTTAGACAAAACTTTTTCTTCATACTAAGGAAGACACTTTGTTGAACAAGCTGAGCACTGCAAAAAATATTCTCAAGTAAATAACTGTTTTATCTTTACAGAAACTTTTGCAGGTATTTTTCCTTGCATAAGTTACTCTGAAAATTTGAGAGGACGGTAGAATGTCAGCATACTTTTTAGGGACTGTGTATGTAGAGTGTGAATTACACTGATAAAAATGCCTTTCTTCACTCTTTGTGTTTATAAATGGCAGCTCAAGTATGGTGGGCCTGCCCAAAGTGAAGCGGGATAAGTTCTCCGTGTTCAACTTCCTGTCTGTAATAGACGGGACTGCCCCTTCCTCCAGCTCCGCATCTGTTGCTCCCGCCCCGGCGCCCTCGTCTGCGGCCTCCGGCAAGCGCTCTAGGTGGGATGTAGCTGGCCAGGAATCACAGGTTAAAGACCCACTCAGCAGATTCATCAGTGAGGCCCGTAGTGAAGTGACCGCAGCACAGCAAGACCAGCCAAGCACTGCTATAACCCCTGCAGTCTTCATCACTGCTGAGGTATATTTATAGATTAGCAAATCATAATTCCAGATCTAGAGCCGCTATGCATTGTACAGATTTGGTTTTTCCTGTTGTAACACATCTTAATCAAGTAATTATTTAGGCCTGAGTGAACTGTGATTCTTTATTTGATTTTCTAATAGCAAATTAAAAAATACTTTTTATTGCTCATCGCTCAGTTTCCTAATCTGGTCATGTCACACTAATATAGCTAGTATGAAATGCCCTGCCATACAACTCAGGGCCTGTGGCACATATCGTAAACCTTTTCAAAGAAAGCCATAATGAGCTATTGCTCAACTAATTCTTTATGGACTGTGCATGAACGTTGGTTCATCAAGGTATAGCAGGATGGCTGCATTCATATCCTCACATATTAGGTACTTATTTTGCATATTTATTAAAATATCTCTTATGTAGCCTAAAACAGCTGAGCCTGTGACTGAGCAGACAGCAAAGAAGACTGAAGATGAGGAGGAGGCAGAAGAGGAAGAGGTTAGACCTCCAATGGACCTATTTAAGGCCATCTTCGCCAGCTCTTCTGATGAGAAGAGCTCCTCTTCATCTGAGGAAGAGAGTGGTGATGATGAGGACCAGGCGGTGGAGCCCCAGACACACATACCAGTCGTCACAACTGTTGAGACTGTTGGCTCACCTGTTTCATCTCAGGCTCCTCCCACATCAAGTCCGAGTACTGCGACAGGTAGTTGCCATTAGAGGGAGGGAAATTACAAACTTCCTTTTTATCATTTTGAAATTAAAAGAACACTCCTGCAGTTTTCACCATAATCTTTAAGAATAAGAAACCCGCTTGCTCAAACTCTAATAGAAGCCACTGGCAGTTGCTGCATTCTGTGAAAAAATATGTGACTCTTATAATCTGAATTGTAAACTACAAAACTTTGAAAATACAGGGCTTAGGATAAGACCAACATGAGAGAATGTCTTACCAAAGCTGTTATTAAGTTTAATTCAACTCAGCTTCTATTTGGAGTCAGCAGGTTTTCTGTTCTTACCTAAATACTGGTAAATATGTTGAAGTGATTGTTAATGGTAATTCAGCGTATGGTACCGACGCAACAGATTAGATTAGATAGGAAAATGCTGAAGAATTCCTTTAAACTGGTATATGTGCATTTAAGTTTATTTACACTTTCCAGAACCTAAACCTCTTACAGAGGAAGGAGAGCAGAACGACGCATCTGTACGGACTGGAGCCATTGACAGTGAGGAGTTCGGACCCAGACTACCCCCTCCTGGTTGGTCACTTCCCTGTCCCAGCACCGACACCTAAGCTAGGCGGCATTCCAATAGTCAAATAAATGTTTCTTTGCTTATTACTTTTCCTTGCATTTGCCTGAAAAAGTCAAATAGTCGTAGAAAAGATGAGAAGTTCAGATGGAGACAAGTAGCACCCTTCCAAGAGTAATCTCCGCAAATTTGTATGAAAGTTAGAGGTTGAATAAACAATAATTAAATCAATCAAAAAATTGCCAAAGCAAGGAAAGCTTATGGGTTGCTTAACACTTTATTTAGCTGTTTGAACATAGCCTTAGCTTAAACCCCTCCAACTGTTGTTTGTGCTACCAGGAATTAATGAAGCTTTGTCCCATTCCTCCTGATCAAATATTGTGTTGTTTACTTTGCTTTACGATCAGTGCGGAAGGATTAAGGCTTTACATCTGTCCCTGTCTTTCCTATCAGGGCAAGTATTCTCATCATCATCATCACTAGCGCAGGAGGAGAAGCCGAAAAAGCAAAGCAAAGACAAGCATAAAGTCAAGAAAGAACATAAACACCGTAAAGAGAAAAAGGTACTATCAGCACACATGCTAAGGCCTTGGGAAGGAGACCTTTGTTACCATGGTAACATGGATGGAATTTTGTTTATCACATTCTATCTCTCTGACTTTCTTTCATTTCCACTTTCTCAGCGTAAGAAGAAGAGTAAGAAGCACAAGCATAAAGGAAAGCAGAAGAAGAAAAAGAAAGCGGAGGAGACGGACACTAGCTCAGATGACACTGACTCTGAGAGTGATGATGAGTTGGGAGCAGTATCCACGGAAGACCTGCTACAGAGGTCAGTAGTTCTACCTTATTATCCTCAGTCTGTTTCATTTCCAGTCATTTAGTCATTTGTGTGTTATAATTTACTGAACGTCATCGAGTGGGTTTATGTGATTACATATGTGCTGTGTTCATTATTTGAATTATTTAAAGGGGAATTCAGGCCTAAAACTAGAGTACTCATGCAGTATTCTGTAGTGTAGCATTATATTCCTCAGCCTCAACAGCTTTATTCACAATTTTATAGTGTTTTTATGTTTTTGATCATCTGTGTTCTCCCACTATAATACGCTGCTGTTGGAACAAAACCTTGTATCTCCATTATTGTTGTTTTTCTACGGAGCCCCTAAGGGGCTGTGGTTAAAAAAAAGTTAATTGTAAGTTAATAAAGGCAATCGCAAATGTTTTGCATTCCCTCGCAAATAAAATGCGTTCCTTCGCAAATGTTTTGCATTACGATGCAAACGTTTTGCAATCGCTTGCAAAAGCTGTGCTTTGCTGAAGCTCAGAGATGGAGCAGCTCACTGAATTCACGTTGATCTTGGATTGAAATATAAAGACATAGTGTCGCTTCTCAAAATCAAACATGATTATGATATTAGGGAGTGCAAACTGAAACTGAGATCGAGTGTCCTCGACAGTGCTGAATAAACTCAGCATAGACTGGCGAAGCTGGGAAAACAGCTTTTAACGTTAGCTATGCTAAAAACAAAAGCTCTAATGTAGGCAGTGTCATTGGGCACATCTGGTCCTACGTTTGCTTGCTGTCTGACAAGCATATTTTTTGCGAGGGAATGCAATTTTTTTGTGAGGAATGCAAAGCATTTGTGAGGGAACACATTTTCTTGTGAGTAGAGTATGTTTTTTCCTTCTCCTGTAAAGTCCTCATTTTAGAGATGAGGTTTTGTTCCAACAACAGCGATATCTAAATAGCCAGGCAGCTTGTCATGCTCATCTGACAAGTCATTTCATATAGTGCAGTTATATGGTTGCAATAAGATATTCAGATTCCTCCCAGTAACCTGGCTTCCTTCTGCATTAAAAAAAAAAAAGTAAAACCAGTCCATGCTCAAAAATCCACCACAAAGCAGCTGTAGTTTTTCAAATGTTACTTACACCTTCAAAATACATCATCAGGAGGGGGTTTCCTAGTCTGTAAAATGGAAAATCTCACTCTTAGACCACTGCGGCACTGCTGCAGGATGCAAGTAAACATGTCATTTGACATGGCTACAACAGACAGAGCCATTGCTGATTTTATTTATTTTAATTCTCTTCATTCCAAGTAATGTAATACTTGCTTTGAAACTTAAGCTCTCTCTCTCTCTCTCTCTCTCTCTCTCTCTCTCTCTCTCTCTCTCTCTCTCTCTCTCTCTCTCTCTCTCTCTCTCTCTCTCTCTCTCTCTCTCTCTCTCTCTCTCTCTCTCTCTCTCTCTCTCAGGTTAAAAAACCTCCGTGGCAAGAAGTGATCGTGAGCATCTAAAGACTTAGTTAGAGAGGCATTACTTGTCCTCCATGAGGACGTCATTATGAAGCAAAATTACGAGGATGATATCTGTAAATGACTGTTTTGTCTGACTGTGAAGTTTTGCAAAATAAAGAAAATGCCTTCTAAACTTGTACATGACTTCAAAATAAAGTTACTTTTAATAAAACCTCTCTTTTTAATTTTTTTTCTTCTGCTTGTTCATTTGCTTGAAAGTGAAGAATGATTTCTTGTGTAACGTTTGTTTCATATTAAATAAACACCTCTAGGTTAGCATGACTAAACTAGCTAGTTAGCCGTGTCAACGGCTGTCGTTCAGCACAGCCACCCGAGCGATGTGTTGTCAGGGAAACTGTTGACGTTCGCGCCGCAGCTTCAGTACAACTTGTGGAGAGCGAGTTCAGAGACTGACCGGACTGGACCGGCTGCCGGTGGTGGGTTTTTAACGATGTTCACTTCATCTGACTGAGGGAAAAGTTGTAGTTGACTACCACCACACCTTCCTATAGAAATGTCCAAAGAAAACAATGGATCCGTTGGCGCTTGATGAGCCGGTATCTGAGGAGAAAACAGAAAAAGAAGTCGCCTCACTGTGGGAGCATGAGGCTCTATCGCAGGTTCGTTCAAACAAACACAGTTGGCTAGTTATCTGCTAGTATTGGTAGCCTTACACGCTTTATGAACTGAACACGTCCTGGACCTCTTAGTTAAGTGACTTTCTTGAGTCCCACTGAGAACTGAGCATTTCCCTTTTCAGCCATTCAGACAGTGCAGTTGCACTACTAGCTAGCTGCAGTACAGCAGGGCATTCTTTGTCACTTCACTGAACAATTACAAGAACATTTGCCTGTGTTTACTTGCACACTAGCTGTAATACTGGGACAGATACTGTGTTGTGACTTATCAGTCTGGAAAACAAGATTAAAGTTATTGACCCTGTGCATACCTGCAATGTTAAAACAGTTTACTTACTATTAAAGGAGAATTCAGAGTTTTTCAGAGTTTTGGAATAATTCAATTACTAACATGTAAATAAAGTAATTCATATTGTTTTCATGTCAGATGCTTCGTTTTAGAGAACTTACTGTCTTAGATTTTCTTTACAGAGGCGATGATAGGAACCAGGGGTCGCAATGTCACCATCACAAATATAGCCATTTTATACAACTAGTTTCGTGTGGAACACCTTTAGATCCCATTAGAATCCTTTACACTGTGATATCAACCCATCAGAAAAAACACAAAATACCATTCCTGACTATTGGACACCATCAGATGGTTTCTAAGTTGTTTTTTTTTCAGCAGAGGTTGCATTGTAGAGAAACTTCTTGACTCCAGTTTCTTTAAAGTGGTGGTGATAGGAACCAGGTGTCTCTGTTGCAAATATATCTATTTATTTACTATCCAAAAGACCAGTGAGCATATATCTAAGTTTTATATGTTAATGATAATAGAACTGTGGTAAATCTGATCTTTAGGTGCTATTTTGCCTTACAACACCCTGCATATACGTCTGTGACATGAATGGATTTTAAAAATATGCTTTAAGCTAAAACCTTATCTCAAAGCTCTGTGAGCTTAAAGGCATTAGATGTTTCAGACGTCTGGTTCCTATCACCACCACTGTGAACAATTCAGGCTCTGAATGACTGTTTACATCTTCACTGTTCAATTATGCAGAACTTTTGAAAAATCGTCAGAATTCCACTTTTAATGAGTCTTTTAACACTGCACGTCTACTTATTGCTAAACACTGAGAAAATGAAAAGCCAATAAAATGAATCTGTTCTACACGAAGACGTTTATTAAACAGCCCTCGTTTAACAGCTCTATAATTACAGCGTAAAGCGTCTTTCACACACTCTTATGGTTATGATGATGTGCTGTCTCTTATGTAGATCCCTGTAAAGGTGTTGAGGGGACATACTGATTCTGTCAGCAGCTGCCAGTTCTGCTTCAATGACACCCGACTTCTCACTGGCTCCCATGACAAGACTGCGATATTTTGGGTGCGAGCAATCAAAGAATCACACGTTTGACAATTAACATGACAAAAATATCATTTGATTTTCTTTGCACTTTCCTTACGCTTTGAATATGATGTTCCATAATTAGCTTTTAAACTTTCCCTCTATGCTTACTCCTCCTGACTGTTTTCGTAGGATGTGGAAACAGGAGCTCAGTTGATGGTGCTGAAAGGAGGACACTCCGCGGCCATCACTGGGTGCTGTTTGGTCCCAGAAAAGAACAGGTAGGCGAGGAGAAACAAGCAGGTTACAAGTAATATGCACATCCCACCTGCTGGCCAAGCCTTTTCAAAGAGCATAAGCCAGCACATAAATGCTGCTGTGGCAAGAAAGCTTAAGCTTTGTTTGGAATGCTTCACTCTTTAATCTCAGTCACTGTTCACTACATAGAGTTATAGTGAACTGACTGGAGAACATTCATGAAACAAGCAAAAGATTTATTGAATAACACTACATCTTGGCTGACACACTATATAGCGCACTGTTTGTCTAATAGGGAGCAATTCCAAACATAGCTCTTCTCTCAACAACTATGACTTTTTAGGAGAATATAAAAAGGGCCCTTAAAGGAATATTCCAGTGTTTTTATCCCTATCTGCTGTGTCTGTATTACTATACACTTCCCTGTACTTAAAAAGAAACCGATGGGCAGTTGCTTCAGCACCTATACACTCATTTCAATGTTTTTCAAGTCAGTGGTTTTCTGTTTTTTTATTTTTCACAGGGAATTGCTTTGTATTTATTGCCTGTGGTGATCCACCATGTGTTAGAGAAACAGCAGATATACAGTACCATGCAAAATCAGAGACAACCCTTCATTTATTGAATTAAGTACAAGTCAGTCATTTTTCATTGTCAGGAAAAAAGCAGAAAGCATATATCTAACGCAAAAGTACACAGAAGCCTATATATAACATTTATATATTTATTATACTTTTTTAGTGTGTCCACACTTTGCCGCTTTGCATTCTTTTCAGGAGACTGGTTTCAAAGAAATCTGCAGACATATTTTTCCACACCTTCAGTCTTAGAAGTTGATAGCATTTTTGGCTGCTCACAATCCAAGTAATCCCAAACACATTCAAAGATGTTGAGGTCCAGACACTAGGGTGGTCAGTTCAGTTCTGAGAACACAAGCAACTTTATTTTTTATCTGCAAATTGTCTTTTTGGTCTATTTTCTTTTCTCCATAATGGCTTCTTGAGAGCTACACATCCTTTCAGACTCATAGTGTTGAGTTCTCACAGTGGAAGGATGGACAGAAGCACCTGTGGATTTTTTCAGATCTGAAGCAACAGTGGAGCTTGATATGAATATGAAAGTACAATTTATCTGATGTTGCACTGTTGTTTTTCTATATCTTTTAATAATTTTTGAACTCCAGTTTTGGAATCTCCTGTTATTTCGCTTATTTTCCCTTAACTTTCTCCTCTCTTATTCAAGTCGATTATCTTATATCTAATCTTTTCAGAAATATCTTGTGAAAAATGAACAACTCGTACATAGAAATGAAATAAAAGAAGGGTGGTCTCTGACTTTAGCACAGTACTGTACTATGTCTGTGACATGGCTTAGGGAATAAAAGGGGTCATACATATAAAAAACAAAACCAGCAAACAAGATATAAGCTTTGATTGTGAGAAAAAAGACACAGTATGCTTCAGGCACCGTATGGTCAGTACCTCAACATGGTAACAGCCCTGCCAAGCCTAAGGCATTTAATATCCATTTAGCTGTTAAATAAAATGTCCTGTCATTGAGAGTCTCCACCACTAACAAATACACACTCTCACACAGCACGGTCTCCAATTACACTCTCCCTTTCAGGGTCTTTTATTGCACACCCCTTTGTTTGCACACCCTGCTGCCACGGACGCTGTTGCCAGGCAACGCTGGAAGCAGAGCACTCTCAGTGGGGTGCCTCTTTGCTGCTGTAATCAGTTTCTTTGGAACAGCATCCACTAATTAATATATCACTCAGTGCTCTTTTCATTACTGAACTAAATGCTGATGGTAATCTTGGTCATGTAATGTAATATAGATAAAAATGGAATATATATTCTACCCTAAGTTATTCAGCTTGGATTATGAGTGTAAATGACCTCATCGAATTACAGTAACATTACATTTATATTGCATTATGCTTGCCTATTGCCTGCCTGTTATGTATTTGGTACTCAGAATGTGTGATATTCTTTATAATATAACCCCCGTCTTTTTCTCTTTGTCTTTGGCCTCCCTCAGAGTAATAACATCCTCCTGGGATAAGAATATGAATGCCTGGGACCTGGAGACTGGAAGAATACTGGTGAATTATTCAAATCCCTATTCATATTAAATTCTTTCTTTTGTATTTCTTTCCTTAATCTCTCCTTTGACTCCCTTTAATATTGGTAGGGAATGATAAAAGCACAGTCTACAGTCTTTGTGTGTCTTTGTGAATGTGTTTGTGCTTTCAGTGGACAGTAGCACAAGGTGGCTTGTTGATGTCATGCAGTGTGTCGGGGGATGGGAAGTATGTGGCTTCAGCTTCAGACATGGAGAACGCCCTCTACATCAACTGTGCTGACACAGGACAGAGACTGCATTACATGCAAGGTAGAGTGACTAACCGTAGTTAGACCTGGGTGATGTGGTTTATATTTATATTAACTTTGTTATTTTTTATTGTATATATTTAAATTATGATTACCAATGGCTGAACTTCCAGATGCAATCTGTACAAATCTAGAGAAATAAAATAAATAGACACCTTACTGCTATTTAGACAATACTGGAACATATGCTACAACCTTATTTTGGGTCACTATATTCTCTGTTCAGCTGTTCAAATCACCAAAGGTCCCTAAAATGCCGCTAATGTGATGCATGCAACCCACCTGTAGACTTTAACTGGGAACAGCAAGCTGTAGTTTAGTTTCTTTTTTTGCCACTGTAGAAGTGTTTATAAAAAGATTTAGTAGGGCATGACGTTTGGTTGGTGGGGTATTGCCCCACTAAATGACTCCCTGATGACTAAATGAAAGCAAGTAATCTGGGAGGGTGTGGCTAATGTACTACATCACATGTAACCAATCTTCATATTTTTTTCGAGCTTCCACTCTCACAGCATCCCAGGACATGTTAAATGTACTTGATGGAATGCCCTAATTGTCTAATACTGTATGTGAGATAAAGGATGCTCATTATGTATCGACAAGTAAAGAGGACCTAAGCTATTCATTGTCACTGCCACAAACTACATAGTGCAGCCTCATTCGACCTGACGTGATGTGCTGGCCACTACACCAGGGGTTCCCAAACTTTTTCACCCTCATGTAGAAGTAGTGTTTGTCCTGAGCCTAACCAAATATTTTTTTAAGTAAAATAAGGCATATACTTATCTAAATGTCCTTAAACTCTTAGTCCACTTTTATGTGTGACTGTTTTTTTCGTTAACAAGCGCAATAGCATATCATGATGAAAGATGAAGCGTGAGGTCAACACTGTTACATACTTAGCACTGTGGAATAGAAAAATAACAAAATAACAACAAAACATATTCTATGTTTAGATGTAATCCATTCAGCTCTTACCTTTTAAACACATTCATACATTTTATTATTTTTTGAAATATTTTATTTAATATTAATATCATCACTATATTATATCACTATATTACTCTAATCCCATGAAACTCACGTGAACTGGAAGGAAATAATAAAACACAAATCAGCAGCACTTACTCACTTTTTTCTTTCTGAGTCAACCAATAACTTCAGCTTTAAATGCCATTTACCAAAAGAAGAAGTGACCACCAAGATAAGGAGGAACGAGAGAGTATGACAGATACCACAAATAAAGTGAAGAATGTGAGAGGGAGGATGAGGAAAGCTCGGATGATGAGTAAACACAAAACAAAATGAGAGGCAGCAGGATGGTAGACAATAAGGAAGATGAAAATGTACAATTAAATATCCTTTATATGTCCAGCATAGATATATTAGGATTAGAGATGAGTTTTGTCTGCTTTTTTTGCATGCAGTGTTCGGTCAGTTAAAAAAAGTCTCAGTTTAAAATAAATCTTCCGAAGTAGTCAAGTAGCTTACAGGGTAGTGCACCTTGTTTTTTGAATAAAAAGCAATGTGATTCTCCACCTATCCATTGTGTTAGTTTGCAACTTCTTTCCTGCATTTATAATTCTGTTAAAGTATAGGCTAGAAAATGTTATTCAAGCATGAATAATGGCATTCTTGTAAGATTAAAGTTCTGTTGTTTAACCCCCATCTAACATCACCCCCTTGTGCTGATAGAGCCCACTAGCTTGCTCTCATGGAAAAAAAGATTTTGCTGGTCCAGCGTCCTCGCAGCACACTTGCCCCCACACTTTAACCCACAGTTTGAAAAACACTGCACTAAACTACAAAACACGAGACTATAATCTGCTGCGGTGTTTGATTCTGGATGAAGCTTTAACACTTGTTCTCCCTTTTCCTTCTAGTCTTAAACAGAATGGTGAAACTCTCCAGAGAGAATGTCTCCTCATAACCTTTTCTTACCAGACAGTAATACCCCCACTGTAATGTTCATCCAGTTAACAAAAGGATAATAGTCACTCAAAGATTCAGCATTGCACCAAGTATGGGGAACATTGTGGACAGGATTCTGCACTTGTCTGGATTACTGCTTGTGTGGTTTTGGCAGAGAAAATGAAACAAAAAACAAAACACCTGCTGGATTTGAAGGAATTTCAGCTCACCTGGGCTTCTAAATGTAGCAACAGGCAGAGATCATATGATACAAACAGGGGAAAACCAGGCAGAGACAGAATTGAAGGCTACAAGGGAGGAACTACAGTTTGGTTTACAAACTTTTTCTTAAATTTGTTCTCGAGAAAGGTCTTAAGAAAAAATCTACGTCAGATTCATGATGTGTTAAACCACAGAACTGTTCTCACCTTTGTGCTCTTGTGTGTGTGTAGATTCTGTTCTTACCTAAGAACAAATCCCAAATAAGAAAACACTGGTGAATGTTGGAACCTTCTTGAAAACTGCGTAAGTGGGTTTTAAGAAGAAATCTCTTCTTAAGATTGTTTGGTAAATGAGGCCCAATGTGCAGTGTTTATGGTGGTACTGGTGAGGACGCCACATTAGGCTAACCAATGAAGTATTCATTTATATAGTGATAAAATTTTCCTCAATAGTGATGATAAGTATATTAGGGTATTAAATGTTGATAACTTTCTTCATTTTTTCTTTTTTATTTACTCCAAAATAGGCAATACTTACAGACCATCACACAGCATGTAGGGTAAATGTAAGGCCAGCATGATAGCCAAGGGGGCTACATATTACTGAATTGCACACCCACATAGAGCACAGAATCACTTTGCAAAGAAACAGCAGCATGGTTGAGAAATGTGACCGGAAAATGAAGAGTGAAGCCAAGAAAAACTGGAGATAAAGTTGTTAGGCCTGAAATATAAAATGACCACAATAATTATCAAATTATTTTTTCTCTGAATAATTTTTATTTGCGATATTTTTGAAAAAATTATTTCCTAAAGCTGTATTAGCAGCAAAGGTTTGGAATCTGACTAATTACTACTCTGATACATTAGGTGGAGATGAAGCAAATGGTAGTCCTAACAAGTGTGCAAGCCCTGGTAGACCACCAAAACTGTCACTATCAGTTAAACAGTACCTAAAGATTTCATCTTTGAGTGAAAGGAGAAGATCAAGCTCCAGTCTTGACTCAGACCTCAACATTATTGGTTGAATTTGGTATTACTTGGATCATAAGAATCAGGAAATGCAACCAACTTCAACACCTCTAACCTTTCGAGGTGTTGAAAAATGTCCCTGCAGATTTATTTGAAAAACTGATTGTTGTAAGAAAGACAAATGTTGGACACCCTAAAAACTGAAAAATGTAGTTGTTGAGGCTTCTGTGTAATTTTTCATGTTTCCTGTATATGTTTGCTGCTTTTTTCCCTGACACTGAATGGTAATAAATATAAATGAATATCTTGTACGTAATGGCTTTTTAACTGGAAATTAAATAAATCAAGGATGGTTGCTGACTTTTGCACAGTACTGTTTATATTGTGAAAAACATTTTGCCTGTATTGCCCAGTAACGTGTAGCATGTTGCTGTAATTTTGCATAAAATTTTTCAGTGTCCCAAATAATTGTTTTTAATTTTGGATCCTGATTTATTCTTATCTTTAAGAGTTCAAAAGCATAGCTTTTAAACTTTCAAAGATAAAAAGTCAAAAACACTCAGCATACTTTTTCATTTCATTAATACAGCCAACAAAATCTCTCTGTCCATCTCACAGGCCATCATAAGTCCACAGTAATGAGCTGTCAGTTTGATGCTCAGAGTCAGCACTTGGCCAGCGTCTCAGCAGACAGATCCATTAAATTATGGGACCTCTGCTCTCACAAAACCACTCTGACCATTAACAGGTACAGACATTACTCTATATGAGTTGTGCTCGGACTGCTCAGCTCCTCCATCCTCTTCCGTTTGAATGATTATCTTCTGCGGCTCATTTTACAGCTACTGTACTGCAGAAAAGGAGAGCATACCAAGTGTTTGGTACATCACAGTATGTTATTTATTGCTGTGGTTATGGACATGTAATGATTGTTTCTCTTCTCTGCGTGGGCTGTATTTAGATATGCTTAAACTCGCAGATAAGATTACTTTATATAGTAATACTCATAGTAATTATTACTACCAAGCTAATGTAGCTAGCAAATAACGGAAGTCTCACCAAGAATCTTTTCTGTAAGTACAGAGGACCCTTTCAATACTTTTTTTAAATATGCCCTCTGAAACACTTAGCACTCAGAAGTGCGTCAAACCTACGTCACTCACAGCACAAGGGCAGGAGGTGAGGAACGGATTATTCAGTCAGAATACATTTGCCATTAGCTAGGTTAGCCTCAGTGAGCTAATTGGCTGGCCTTGCAAACTTTGTAATGTGTTTTTTGAGAAGTCTGAATATAACGTACATACATTTAGTGAATAACTGCTTTGTTTGGCTAAAAGATTTGATATAAAAAACTGCTATATTGCCTTTATTTTTCTGTTGTTGCCAGCTGTTTGTTGGTCTCTATGTTCACAGACCCTTTTGCCCCATATTCCCGGCATCCTAACAAGGCCTCTTATTTTCCCATTGAAATTTCTAGGAAACAGTGTTATGTTTATAAGGGCCCTGTGGTCCTCAGGCCCTGTGTTCTCTCTTTTTAATACTGGAAATGGTCATGTATTCCCAGTATTTTCCTTCATTAAAATTGTATAAGCCCTGTTTTAGGTCCATGTTGCCTCAATCCTGTTTCCTTAACATGAAAAATTAGATTGACCGTATATTTACAAACGTATATATTCTAATATTGTAAGTTCAGTAAGCAATGTCTGAAATTAGCTGTATGGACATGCTGCTTTAAAATAGATTTTTACATTGCAATTCCAAAACTACCAAATTACCAAAATTTGCATTCGTGTTAACAGTGGAATCTCTGGGGACATCCTCAGTGACAACATCTATCTTCCATTTTAGTATTGTTTTTAACATTCTCTTGTCAGCATGCCCTCACCATTTGCCCTTGGAAGAATCCTTGATGCTATCCTTGATGGCTCCTTTACTATATTAGCTCCGTAACTGATGAAGTCAACATAAAAACAGACTTCAGTGGCAGAACTTGCCCAGAAATGTTTGCTATTTGATGCAACATCCATGGCGTCCATTACTTAATATTTCAAAATTATAGTACTTGATTTGCTGCATTAAAACACTGGCCTGTTTTCCCCTCTTATAGGTCTGGGGATGTACGTTTGTTACTTTACACTGCTAACTTGCTAGTTAGCAAGCAATGGGCTACATAGCCCACAGCACAACAACAGAAAAAAATGGCAGTACAGATTTTTGTTAGCTAGCAAAATAGCTTACTAAGGATTATCCAACTGAGGGCTGGTGCAGTGCGTTCCTATTGAAAAATCAACCCCTCATTGCCCCTGGTTTTCTTAAATTTACATTTTTAGACATGACCATCTACATATCATTTACAGAACTGAAGGAATGTAGAACTCTGGGAAAATTGGATGGGAACAAAGGAATGCTCCCACTGTGTAGCCTTTAGTTTGCTAAAGGCTGATAATAATGAAATTCTATCATTATCACTTGCCTCAAACTGCGTTTGGTTTTTAAGTAAGATTACAGTGACTTCTTGATGTGATTTAGGACGCAGTTAAACTTAACTTTGTTATCTATAAAAATTGAAGTCAAAACTTGACTGCATAGCTGAAAGCCGTTAGCATTAAGGAGGCAGTCATCTTGGATGACCGGAATAACTTTATTCCTTAAATTTGTATATTTAATGACTATCGCTGCCATTTTACAAAATTGTTTATTTCACAATGAGATTAGTTAGCTCAGTTATGTCTTTAGGGACAACAGCATGATTTGTATATGTGACTACTTTTACTTATACTTGAGTATTAATAAAATAACAGTACTTAAACCTAAAAGATGCAGAACTAAAGTGGGAAACGTCAGACACGAAACATGTCCTAGCTAATCAGCTATATTAGGGAAAAAGGTGTAAAACTGTGTAATTATGAGTCAGTTTAGAGCTGTCAGTTAAGCCCTTGTCGTTTATCCCCCCAGTGCCCACAAAAATGTCATCTCAAGCTGCTGTTTCACTCGCAATGGCCATTACTTGTGCACAGCATCGTGGGACCAGACACTGCATCTGTGGGACGTTCAGACTGGTTCGTACCGCACCAAGGGAGGAATACAGCTCAGCAAGGGTCACGATGGTAGCATCAGCTCCTGCGCCTTCTCCAACGATGGTACTGCTCTGTGTTGGCTTAAAGCCCATCTACTGTGAACCAAAATATAATGCGAGTGGGCAGTCAGTAACCACAAAATGTGGAAGCATTCATTTGTAAAGGGTAAAAATGTGGACAAGTTTACTGATCTTGCAATGCATGGTGGCCAGTAACATTCAGATGATCTGATCTCCAGCTTCAGTACTGGTGTCTGGTGCATACGACAGGACCCTAACACTGTGGGACATGAAAGGACTGTGTAAAACCCTGGTGCTGAAGGTAAACTGCAGTGTCTTTTTGCTTGTCACTAAAGGAATCATTTCACCAGATTGCCGTGAAACTGCATATTGGTGCTTTGCATGTCCCTATTAATCATTTTTTTAAATTTTCAAACTCAGGGCCATTTGGATTGGGTGACAGACGTTGACATTAGTGCAGATAAGAACTGGGTGGTCTCTTCCTCAAAGGTGAAACCTTCATAATCAGCATATTATAAATATTATTTTAATGCTGAATGATTTTGCTTTCTCTAAACCAGGGCTGTACAGTCTTCTCTGCAAAGGGCTGGTGTGACCGCATGTTTTCAATCCAAGCAAGCAGCAGCACATCTGATTCTGTTTGTTTATTCACTTAGTCTGAGCCTTTCACTTTCTTTAAGTATGAAAAAAAAGAGTTTGTTTTACTTTTAACTGTTAAATCTCTTTTATTTAATGTTTCCTTGTAAACTGTAAGGATGTGAACCAAAATATTATGTGGCGCAAGCAAAAAAAAACTCAGTTGCAGTCAATGTGTTGTGGTAGTGAGAAGAAATTGCTAAATACTATATTTTGTAAAATATATATTATAATTTTTCGCTTTAACATACTTAGTCTGACAACAGTATACAGATTGTGAATAGAAAAACATCATTTACAGATTTATCTTCAAACCTTACAGTGTTTCACTATTGAGAATTTGGTCACAAAGGGCATGCTGCTAAAATTCAATTTAATGTAATTTAAATCATTCAGATTTGTGTTTAATCATTCAGTGAAGCATAATTTTTTATATATCCAAAAAAAGAAAACATTAAGTTTTAGTAATTTAAAAGTAAAAGTAAAAGTTGGATCCCAGTATTTGTCATATTTGTGAGAATAGCCCATGTGTGCTCCTGCTTTGTTGGAATGAAAACCTGCATCCACACCAGCCCTTTGTGGAGAAGATTGGACACCCCTTCTCTAAACAAATGTTTATTTGTAGAGATTTATGAATTTGAAACTAGATTATAAAGAACAGTAAAGGAATGGAAGGTGTCAAAAGATGCTACTATTCCATGTTGATGGATGTTGGCCATTCCACTTTGATTTAAGTTTGGAATATGAGTAGTGTGGAAGAATCCTGCATCACAGAGTAACTGAAGCATCACATTGTCAGTTTCAGTTTGTGTTGACTGGAAGTGTGTGTGTGTGTGTGTGTGTATGTGTATGTTTGTGTGTGTGTTTTAGGATTCTACAGTACGTGTGTGGAACATTGAGCAGTCTGAACACATACCAGCCGTCATTGAGACCAGGAGGGCTCAGGGAACGGGCTTTCAAATCCTAAAGGTACTACAGGCTATCAGAGTCGGAATCAGGCTTTACTGGGCAATTATGTTTGCACAGGCAAAGAATTTTTCTTTAGTGACTCGCAATATGCAGTGGGTGACAACAGAAACAGAAATGTGGAGTAGAAATAGAAATCTTACACTTCTAGTCACAGTCACATAAACTTCCACACCTGAGTTCTGCCACAAACTCACTGACACACACATCCATTCCTGTAGACAAACACACATTCAAAAATAAACAAGAGTGTGCAGATTAAGAGGTGGCAGTATTGGATACGATTGTCGCTGTCATGACAAAACCTTATATCTCCAAAATGGCAACTTCACAAAAGGAAAACTTTCTTAAGTTTAATTGAAGTTCATAGAAATTGATGTTTTTCAAAGTCACTTTGGACCATTTCTAGTGGTCCGTTCAACACACTGTAAAGGAAAGTGAGCATTTTTAAATAATAAATAATAAAAAATAAAAATGACAAAATGGATTTGAAAGGTTTTATGTAGATAATTATGGAATAAATTAGTTTAAAAAGGTGAATTACAAAATCATCAGCGTGGTTATGTATGAAGTGGGGTGGAAAATGCGTAAGTGACTTTAGTACTCCTTTAGTTAAATATTATTTTGGAAGATTTGCATTTTAGTATTTTTCACTCTATTTGTACTCCCAATTACCCTTCCAAGAGATAAAAAATATTTTTTACTCTTTACATTTTCATTTAAATCTTCAAAGTACCATCAGATTTTTCTTTTTTTTTTTTCTTTCTTGCTTGCTAATCATATTTTAGTGTCTGCCCATTCTTTCGTTTTTTCATTAAAACTGCTAACCAAATTAATTTCAGCGTACAATAAAACTGCCCACAACTAAGCTAAATTGTTTTTGGCACAAAACACACCTAGTTTTCTTTTATTTGTTAAAACATTTCCTTTTACTTTTTACTTTTTATGTTTGAGTATGGTTTTGGATCCCTCCTTACACTTTTAACTGAGTAAGACTTTCACTTAAGTACATTTTCTCTTCAATTTTTCCACCCTGTTTGCAAACTGCATTCTAAGGAAGCCTGTTGAAAAATATATAGCCATTTAGTAAGTCATAATAAGGAGAATGGTTTCCATAATTACGACTTAGTATCTCATAATTATGAAAAAAAAAATCTCATAATTATGAGAAAGTAAGGTATATTTATGAGATGTCATTATGAGATACTAAGTCATAAATATGAGATGCTAAGTCATAAATATGACATAGTAAGTCATTATTATGAGATATACTAACTCATAATTATGAGACATTAAGTCATAGATGCTAAGTCATAATTATAGATACTAAGTATAGCTATTTAGTTATTAGAATCTCATTATTATGAGATGGTAAGTCATAATTATGAGATGCTGTGTCATAATTGTGAGATTCTTTTTCATTATTATGACTTACTAAATGGATGTTTTTCCAGTGGCAAAAACGGACTTCCGTAGCATTCATTCACAGGGGAGAAAGAGAGAGAAGGTTTCTCGAAAATTATAATCTGTAACATTATATGGAAAACATGCATAATCTGATGCATTGAAATGTTGCTTTTCAGTGTGAAGAATGTGGGAAATCTTTTTCTGTCTCTCGCTTGGAGAACACCAGCTTGATCACCAAATGTGTGTTCTGTCGACTGAAGGCTCCAGACAGATATCTGCCTGCTCCTCCGTGCCTCTGAGTGGGTCTCGGCTAAAGAGCATACTGTCCCCTACTGGAAACGGCGTGTGACAATGTGTCATCAGCAACACGAGGGTTCAGACGAATTATAAGATACAACATCTATGTACGTAAATCATTTATACGCCTAAAATGAACCAGTGACGGGAATATCGGAGGAGTATGCGCAGCTGTAACGTATTTGAGCTGTAATTTGAAGGGGTCGCTTAGCGGCGCCGTGGCTTAGTTGGTTAAAGCGCCTGTCTAGTAAACAGGAGATCCTGGGTTCGAATCCCAGCGGTGCCTTTTGTAGATGGGGCAAATGCATGTGTACACAATCCAAATGGTATTGTTAAACATATTTAGAATAAATAAAACGATAATTACACATATTGATACGTGTTGTTGTGTCAAGTGTCCAAACTGCTTTTAGGAAACAGTTATAAAATATAAGCTAGACAGCTACACAGCACAGCCACAGAAGCGTTTCTTCAGCCCCGTGTGAAATGGCAATAACGCTGGAGAACTCTGTACTCCGTGCATTTAAAGGTGGGAGTGGATCCCAAAAGAAGTCGAATCTCCGATTCAATGCTTTGGGGAACCGAGAATCGACTCCAAAATATTTTAGAACATTGGGTTCATTTTGCTTTGAAAAAAGTGGAAAACGAAGTAAAACGCTTATAATCAACTTCACACGTCCTGAAACATCTGTCCGCCCGATTTTATTGGTCCGCCCAATAAAAGTGCTATGTGGAATCGACTCCATCGATTCTTATTCAGAAGCGGAGTCGACTCCAACATTTCGGCCCTATTTCTGGCGAGCGCACTGATTTCAATGCTGCAGTACACCCCTCCGTCTGCTAGAGGGCGCGCTTTCACTGCTCAATTCACGTCCAGCCCGAGAGGTTTCTTCAAAACGATGAAAACAAGCCGAGTCGGCGTTCAAAGCGAAGTCTGAGATAATAAATCGGCCTAGATAACGGACACGACTAAACATTCATCCTCGACAAGAGTGTTTTCTGGAAGGGCGACAGTGAGAAAGATTCACGCTGAATGGAATATCTCGGCTCCGCGGCCAGTCAGTCAGTCAGCGACTGCTTTTTTATCGCCTGTGTTTTCTGACATCTCTGAGTGCAGCAGTCATTGCAATACTTCAATACAATCTAGAGCGTTTATCCAGCTGGACCGTTCCTGCAGTGGGTCGGTTCTTCAGTTCAGTGTCCTGCTGCAGTGTTTTTAACGCTGCCTTCTTTATGTGGATCTGCATCTCCGGTGCAGAAAAAGCTAATTGCTTATTAGGCTCTCTGAGATCCAGCACAACAGAGATCAAGGTGACCACGAAACAAGACTGAATTCATTGTGAAACCGAGACCTCTGCTGAAGTTTTGGACCCGCAGATGATGGAAACAGCCGCGATAAGGAGTTAAAATGCCCCCCTCTGGTGCAGTTCCTTCGTGTGCCCTCATCCTGAAGATCCTGAAGAACAGCTTTATGCCCTTTCCTGAAGATAACCAGACGGAGGCGACGGGAACGAGCCGGTTGGCTGCGTAACGAAATCTCCAAAGCGAGTCGACAAAGAGCCGTTGGAGGAATGATCTGGAAGGTGGCGAAGGAATCACCTGCGCTTTCTGGATGATGGCAAAGGTCGTGGCGGCGAGGCTTTTCTTCATTAACTGCGTTTGTCTGCGCTGGGCTTGGGTTTGCTTGGGTGAGTAGACCGTGATGGATCTTTTGAATGAGCAGAACATCTCACACCAAAGTTTCCACAGCAGACACACTGATTTAGTAAGATTTTATCAGCAATAAACGCTCACATGCAGTCAGTCAGTCAGGAGGACTCATGTTATGCAGATGTATCTGTCAACAAAGGAAGGTTAAAGGGGAACTCCACCGATATTTCAAAATTTCTGCATAATTTAGTGATTAAGATGTGAACAAAGTCATTCAGAGTGGTTTGATGTGCAGTAATGCATTTGTAGAGAATCAGACACAGATTTCCTTACAGTGGTGGTGATAAGAACCAGAGGTCTTATTGTCTACAATGGAAATATAGCCACTTCATTTACTGTCCAAACCCACCAGTGAACCCACTACACGAGTCTTCTGAGTGTGTATATAGTGCTGATGGTGGTAAAATAACGGTCAGTCTGAAAAGAAGTAGTTTTCTTTGGGGACTGTTTTGCCTTAGAACACCCTTAATGTGTTCCTCCACCATGAAAGGATTAAAATAAACTGATGAAATGCATGTTATCACACTTCTACTGCAAAGCAGTATTTAAGGCATCAGGCAGTGTATTCATAACCATTTCATGTAATATCCTTCTGTGAGGGAGCTTTTAAACATGAGCATTTTGGATTTCTGGTTCCTGTCGCCACCACCGTAAAGGATTCAGTACGTTTCTCTAGAATGAAGTATTTCACACCAGACCTCTCTGAATGACTTTGTTGACATGTTAACCATTTACTTGCAGAAATTTGAAAAAATCAGTGGAGTTCCCCTTTAAGAGGAGACAGGTGATTATAGAGAAGGTGGCGTTCGCCTTGGGCTCTGGAGATGGCTTTGGAGATGGGATGCTGTCTTTTGTTTACAGCTGACTGGTTGGGTATATCAGTCAAGCCTGTGTGTGTGTGCGCAGTGTTTCATGTTGTTGTCTGGTTAATTGGTGGTTCTCCGTTATCCTTCACTGATTGTAATGAGTCCATTAGGGTTTTGTGAGTTGGTAGCACTATATCGCTAGGCTTAAAAACTCTAACACCAATAACATGACCAGATGTGTCATTTGCAGCATGTGGGTGACGACTGATTCCTCTGCCAAAATGATTCCTCTGTGAATCTTATGTCAGCCACAGTAGTGCCTACTGTAGGGGTGGAACAATACATATTTTAGGTATGATACGAATTGTATTTTTGCAGTTAATGTTTGATCCCATGTTCGATATTTTATGTGTTAAAAATGTCTTGAAACACAGCGAAAATTGATTAAGTTTAAGTTTAGACATAGACTTATGCCCAATTTGGATAGGATTAAATGTACGTTGGGCAATTTCCTCTATAAAAGTTGCTATTCTGTGTTTGTGTGTTTATTTCTGTCCAGAATAGTCATGTGGGTGTTTCTCTCTGTCCTCCCCTGAGAAAAATAGAGGCCAGATTTCTTACTGTTGTCCACCAAATTCTGCAACAGTCTGATCATTTGGATATCAGACGCTTCCCAGACCACAATGTAATACATGCTGTGAAAGAGTCTCTCAACCATTTACTTGATCTGGGTGGTAGGACTTTTTGTCTCTACACTAGGAGAGCATTTGCAGGAGGAGAAAGAAAATAAAGTCAATCATAATAGCGAAATCCCTCAGGCTTATTAAGGCAGTGATTATAATGGCAGCTACTGGTATAAAGTGTTACACAATGGCACCTGTAATTTTCTATGATTATATGACCGTAATGTAAAGCAAACATCCTGGTTCATAGAAAATACACAGATGAGTCCAATTCATTAAGTACGCATCCTTGTCTCTATACTCCGTCCATTTTATTACCCTCACTTATCATATAGGTGCACTTTGTAGTTCTACAATTACAGACTGTAGTCCATCTGTTTTTCTGCATACGTTATTAGCCCCCTTTCACCCTGTTTTTCAATGGTCAGGACCCCCACAGGATCCCCTCAGATTAGGTATTATTTGGGTGGTGGATCTGCAGTGATACTGACGTGGTGGTGTGTTGCACTGGTCTGAGTGAATCAGACACAGCAGTGTTCCTGTATGGAGAGTGGGGCCTTTAAAATGAACAAAGAGTGTAGATACAAGGTGAGGTACTTAATGAAGTGGCTGGTCAGTGTACAACCCACTAGAAAAACGCCCGTCCTTCAGTAATCATATTGTATCACTGAGGAGACATGGAGACAAATAGGTGTTTAGGATTGTTAAAATAGAACTTTTTCAATGCATGCTGCACCAAAACAAAAACAAAATTTGCATCCCCAAGAATTTGAGTGTGGGTGTATGTATAGCATGATCCCTCCTTTCCCCTCATAGGATGTGCCTAGATGCCTAGTTTTGATCACAGTGACTCAATACACAGTAGATTTCCTCTTTAACATGTTCGGACAGATCGGTTGTGACCACCAGGAACCTGATCCCACTTAAGTGGTCCTACCCAGATTGTATTGTCACATGAGCTGGTGAGGTCAGCAGAGCACCCAAACAAACACACTTGCATCCAAAAGAATGGTACAGGGACTGTTTGTGGCAGTGAGGTTGAGTAGGGTCACGTCCATGATCCCTGTTCTCTCGAGGTTAGCACTGCTCTCCCGGGGTTAACACACAAACACAAACACATAGGCTTCTGCTGCTACAGGCCATCAGGCACACAGATGCACTCTTTAAAATCAAGGTTCCTAAATGTGATTATTCTTTAAACTTTAAAAAGGTTCTTGACACTCATGATGTTTCTCATTTGCAAAAATTGTTCTTTTAAAGAATCACACATCAAAAGGTTCTTTAGGGAACCAAAAGTTCTTCTGTGGTATCACTCCAGTGAAACCTTTTTACCACCTTTATTTTTAAGACTATGTGAACAGGGAAGCTAAAGAAAGTAGGAGAGTGTGGAATTTGTTCTCAAGACACCTGAGAGGCTGCCTCCTCTTTTCTAGCCTAAACAGACACCAGATACAAAAGCTCTTTTCACACAAACATCCTCCGTCTTTACCTGAAGAGAGCAGAAACCGTGTCCAGACATGCAAACTCAATAATGTAAGCATGAACGACTGGCGCACAATCTGTTGTCTGGCTGTGTAATAAACCAAGTGCATATCCAGGTCGAAGCCTTTTATTTTCCTCCAATGCTACTGTACCATTATGTTCTATGTATATCCTATTTGTTATCAACTTCTTCATCTTTGTTTATTTTCATAGCTACAGTGGGGTCCAAATGTCTGAGACCACATTGAATATCTGGGATTATTTTCTGTTTAAACTTGGAAATGAACAACAGAAAGATTTAGAATTTTGAAACATTTTCAAACAAAGAAAGTTACAACAAGTAAAATAAAGAAGAAATGTTCAAGATTTTGTGATATTTCTAGGTCGCCATTCAATTCACTGACCATGGATTGTTAAGGCCTTTTCATGCCAGCTTGAGAGCACAATGTCATTAAAGCACAAGAAAGACACAACAAATACTAAAATTCTGAAATTCATGTGGATATTCCAAAGATTCTACTTTTCTCTCAAATCTTTATGCTGCTAATATAATTTCTAATGAAAAATTGTGTTAAATAAAAAACATTCAAAATAGAAGTATTTTCACTAGTGGTCTCAGATCTTAGGAGCCCACGGTATATATGAAGAAAAAAAAACTGATTTTATTTTTAGTAGTTCTCCTTGTGAGAAGACTTGCTGCAATCCACAGACTGGACACTGTGGGGTTTGAGTGGTTTTGGCCAACACTGGCTCTGTTTTGATGAATTGTGCATGCTGTACCCTTATCTTTTACCAAGCAGTTAACAATCTTTAACAACCCAGCCAAAAAAAAAAAAACACCCAGCGCACTGCAGCAATGCATAAAATAATTGCCTTCTAGCATGTCACTAACATCATCATATTCAGTTTCCCCATTGGTATTTGTTGGCATTGCTTTAGGGATGAACCCATCATGGATTTTTATGGTCAATTCTGGTTCCAACTTCAACAGCAACAGATTTTTATTAGCCTTTAAAAAACACCTTGAGCTCCCACCTAAAGGACCTTAAACATACTTTAAAAATATTAAAAAGTACTGTTATGTGCAGTGTAATTGCACATGTCTGTCAGGCTCTGTTTTTGCCTGTAAGAGAGATCAGTAGGAGAATTTTAAATATATACATCATCATGAAAACTAACCAACTCATCACTGCCAGTTTATTGAAAAAGTACATTTTAATTTGAGTAATTATAAACACCCTAATATAAATTAAAATAGCAGATCTTAAGTGCGCATTGTTTAGCAACAGGCAAGTGTGTGTGGGTGTCTTATATGCAAGAGGGGCTGTGTTTCACATGGAGACACAATATGCATCCCTGGGGGGATATATATTGGCTTATATACTATATTCTAGCTTTAACTAAAAGCCGGTCCCTTCTGGCAGCCACAAGGCCGAGCTCTGCTAACTCAGCACCGCGCTTCACTCTTTGTGTGAAGAGGAAGAGAAATGAAGACACAGACACAGCTTTATCTTCACTTTCACTCAGCTGGCTAGAGCACTTACGAAAGCACTTCTCATTATTGCTTTAGTAAACAGTACAGTTCTTCATGTTGATTTGCTAGTTTGTATATGCACAGAGGTGCACAAACTGTGAACCTGTACATAAATCTGACCTAAACCGTGATCAGATCTTCATCTAGGTCATCAGTAGACAAAGAGAACTCAATAAAATGAAGTCTCAAAATGTATGTAGTTTTTCATTCATTTTTTGAACAAAGTGACCACATAATCTTGCCCACAAAGGCAATTAATGTTGAACATCTGCATTCAGTAATTGGTGTGACTCCCTTGAGTAGCAATAACTTCAACCAAATGTTTCCTGTAACTGTTAATCAGTCCTGGACATTGACTTGCAGGGATTTTGTCCAATTCCTCCTTACAGAACTGCTTCAGCTCAGTGGTGTTGGTCGGTTTAATTGCATGACCTCCACGCCTCAGGTCTTGAGACATTTTTGTTGTTTTAAGG